CCTCCCCTGTGACTTTAGGTTTCAATTTGAAGCACCACTTCCAAGAAGTCATGTGACCAATAGGAAGTATTCTCTGGCTCAGTTTGAGATAGAGATACAAAGTCACAGCACAGAGGCAGAGGTAGCAAGGGAGTGACAGGCAGGAGGAAGAGTGGGAGGCAGGGCAGAGGGGAGAAGGAGGGGGTCAGTGGAGACAGAGGGACAGGGATATGAAGGTAAAGGGTGCATGGAGCCACAGGAGGGACATCACAAGGGTGGGCAAAGGGCACAAGAAAGCTGGAGTGAAAGGACAGGCAAGGGAGTGTGCATAAGAAAGGGAAGGTCTGTAAGGACAGGTCAGGAAAAGAATGGGAGATAAGAGCACAAGTACAATCTATGGAGGAGACAAGGAAAGCAGGAACCAGGAAGAGCTAATGGTGAAAGACGGGAGGAGTGAAGGAGAAGTGGAGCAGGGGAAGGAGGGAATGCAAAAAAAAAAAAGGAGGGTGAAATCTGACAGAAAGGACAGGACAGACAAGAGGAGAACAATTGAGACACCAAAAGGGGATGATGTTCGAGAGTAGGGGTGCGTGCAACAGTCAAAAGTGAGATGGAACAGAGTTTGGGAGGGAGTATAGAGAGAAGCAGTGGCAGGGGACAAGACAAAACAGCAGGGAAGAAAAGCAGGAGACAAGTGGCAAGGCAATAGAACCAAAGAGGTCAATAGACTAGAGACAGGACCTGGGTGATTGGGGTGGAGAAGAGAAAGAAAGAGAGAGAGGGAGAGAGAGGGGAAAAGAAGGGGAAGGGGAAGAGAAAGAAAAGTTGCGGGAAGAACAGGGAGCCAAATCGCAAGAGTCCAGGAGGAGTGAGAAATAAAGAAAGGGAATATCAGGGAACAGAGGGAAAGAAAGGGTAGAAAGAAAGAAAAAAGGAAATAGAATGAGAGAGCAAATAAAGGGAAGATGTTAGGGTCTGAGAAAAATAAGAACAGTCTCTAAGCTGCAATTAGGTTATGCAGAAATTGAAAACAATGGGAATTGTATAAACCTCTCAGAACAATTCATGATGACAGGAAATCAGATCAACAAGAGTTAGAGACAGAAAAACCAAACTGGATATTTTCCAACAGACACCTTTTTCCTCTAAATACTGCTACAGTTCAGAAACCAATCCTGAATTCTGAAGGACATGCAATCATCACATGAACTTGGCTATTCACTTTACAGAAGTGAGATTAAAAAATGTTAAAAAAAATTCAAAATTAAAATATGGAAATCAACCATTTGGGAAGCTTCAGAATCCTTTTAGAACTCCAGCTGTGTTTCAGTTCCCTACATGCCAAGTTTCACCAGATTTGATTCCAACAGTAAAACAATTCAAATTGCCAAAACTTGTTTTCCTGCTTGACAGCAGTCACAACCACCTGTTAATAACCATGGTTCAGTGGATAACACATGCCTTGGAGTCAGAAGGTTGTAGGTTCGTGTTCCACTCCATGAGATCTGGGCACAAGATCCAGTTTCACAGACTTCAGTGTTATACTAATGGAGTGTTGTGTTGTCAGAGGTACAATCTTTGAGTGAGATTTTAAAATCAAGGACCTATCAGCTGATCTAACAGATCCCATGCAACAGTTTTGTAAGACAGGGAGTTATCCCAAGCTTTGACTGATATTTATCAGTCAAATCAATAAATGGTAAAGTCACCATAATCACCAGACCATAGTGCTGCTCTGAGAGATGCCTGGTGGTGGTTTAAACAGATTCACCAAATATCAGGTGAAGAGAAGGGTTAAGAAAGACAGCCTTTATGGTATAGGCAGTTCTCCTATAAAACAATTGTCGCGTTCTTGTGTGACTTTGTGCTATAGAAAATCACAAGGGGAAAAAAAAACACTATACTGTACAATAGAAAGTTAGTGTTACCCAAACAATGTCCACTAATCAATCACGTTACAGCCAATTTGCATTAACAAACCACACATTATAGCATAAATACCTGTATACTCAGCCAGTGTGGGAATTGAGCCTGTGCTGTTGGCACCACTCAGCATTGCAAACCAGCCATTTAGCCAACTGAGCTAACTGACCATCCAATCAATACTTCATCATCAGTCATTATCACACTGCTGTTTGCAGGAGCTTGTAGTCTATAAATTGGTGTCATGCTTCTTACATTATGACAACTCCCTGCAACTCAAAAGTGTTTTATTGGCTATAAAACACGATGGATGCCATACATTGTGAATGGCACTAAATAAATGCAAATATTTATTCTACTGTACAGCAAATGGACACATCAGGGAGCAAAGTGTTACTGGATTTGTCAATTTAAGACTTGTTGTTTGGTTAACAGCTGAGGCCTGGAATCAAACCTGGAGCCTTCTGGCAGGCCCTGCTGGTCTTCACGTTGTTTGTGGGTTTGATGAACAAGATGCACAGCAATCAATTCACATTATCCCCAAAATGATCACAACTCAAGGACCTGCTCTGGACCTTCTGTCACCTATGCAGCTCACCAGGTAAAACTTGCTGAGCTACCAGGGAGTTTGGCCACCAATGGTCATAAACACAGCAACAGAATTAAAACTGGGGCAGAGTCTTAGCAATTGGAGGATTCCACCCAACTGCATCATGATCAGTTAGATAGAAACATATTCACAGGTCCACCCATCTTTAAAGGGCCATGGATAAAAGCATGGTCATGACAATTTCCTATATGAAGATTAAAGCTACGCAAGAACAAATTAACATTTAAATAAAGCCAAATTAATCCACAAAGCTAGAATGTTTGCATGTTTGCCCCAAGGCTGCTTGAAAATAAACTCATATGATGCCAGCTCAGCATCACATCACCACACTGCATTCTTGCTGGAATAGAACTGCAAGACATTACAAATATCATTTCCATTGGGTAGACCAAATAACTTGGACATTGAGGGTTTTATTATAAATCATAGTCAGTGGCATCAAAAATGAATATTGTACTTTATTTAAAGTACAAGTTTGGACACCAATATACAGTTGGAAAAAAATCTTTCAATTCCTAAAAGCCACAGAGCACAGCAAACTGCCAGTAATTAAATTTTAATCTCAATCTAGGATTGCAAGCAGGTGTTCAAGTGGTGTTTCTACAAAGAATGGGGTAAAATGTCCAAGCCAAAGATTCCTACACCAGTCTGGAAAACACAGCAACCCAACAGAACCACCACTTATTCACAGTTGTACAGACAAGTGGAAACCTAAATTCTAAACCAGAATTTAACTTTTAATGATTAGGCAGAGTTTATTCCATTGGGAGTTCCTTTCTTCACAATGGGATCAAATAGAATTTTGCAGCACAAGGATACTATGAATTAAAATTAACAAAATGATATTTCATTTGATATCAAGTGAACCAATTACATATCAATAGTAAAATTTCAAACTGAAAAATAGAGGACCAACCTAGAGGCAATAATAAAAAATCAAATCCACTTTTACTGAAGTACTACTGATGAATTACAAGCCACTTTTGAATATCCACTAAGTTGTCCCTAGGGAAAAAGAACCACTACAAACATTAAGCATAGAAGCATTAGTTCTGATATTCCTCAGTGCATTGTGGATATAATATTTACTGTATCACTGGAATAGCCAGTGGCTAGTTGGTTTTCTAAGTTAGAACAGATCACTTAGAACAACTTCATATGGCTGTACAGCAGTTCAGGAAATTTGTGGTTCAGCGCATTATGGAAATTAAAGTTCTTAATCCATAATGGCCAGCTGCAGCATAGTGGTGGTATTCCTGACCCTGAGCCAGGAGACCCAGATTCAAGTCCCACCTAGTCCAGACACTTATCAGCTTGCTTTGAAAGTATGCAAATGTAATGTTACCCAAATATGAACAGTAAAAATAACTGCCTTGATAGAGTACAGGGCAATACATCGCCAGTTAAGAGCAGAGATCCACCAGTGCAGGCCTCCACAAATCCCTGAAAGTTTGGGATCAGGAGTTCCTGGAATGAACATTGTCACAGAGGTTTGGGGCACATCTGGATATTGTGAAATGAGGGGGTGGGGGAATGGAGTTTAATGATGTTCAGCTCCACCATAACACCCTGTCTCCCCTCATCTCTATTCTGGAGATAAAATTTAAGGGATCCGTGATTCAGATATTCGAGATTCCAGAGTATAATCCCAGACTTGACACCCAGGTAAGTTTCACATCTGCCATGGAAATGGCTACAATGTTCAGGACATGACCTGCTTTCACCAGTGATGTTCTTCGTCAACATGAACGCCAAGGAGTGAAACGCCTTCACTCACTTGTCGGAGTGTGCTTATGGTGCAGTGCTAGCACCCCTACCTCACAACCAGGAAATCCAGGTTCAAGTCCCAAAATGCTTCAGGTGGTGTGTAGTAACATTTCTGAACAGGTTGAATAGAAAATAAGAATGCAATCCAGAGCCGCTGCTCAACGTACAGGGCAGTTTGGACCACGTTGGAGGAACTTACATCGCAAAGATGGGCAGGAAGCTGGTGATTCAAAGTGTAGCAGGGGTTTGAAGAGTGCAAGGCCAAATTCTTGCTGCTTTGGAGTTTGCACAATCCTCCCCATGTCTGCATGGGTTTCTACCGGGTACTCCAGATTCCTCCCACGGTTTAAAGATATTAGGTGGATTGGCCAGATTAATTGCCTATACTGTCCACAGATGTGTAATTTAGGTGGATTACACATGGGAAATGCAGGGTTACAGGGTTCAGGTAGGGGGCAAAGTTGGGTCTGGGTAGTATGCCGTTCAGAGGGTTAGTGCAGATTCAGTGGGCCAAATGGCCTCTTTCCACACTGTAGGGATCCAATTCAATGATATTTGTTAACTCATATGAGGCATATATATTGTCATAAAACATTTCCTAACTATCATGACACTTCAAAATTGACAGCTTTCTGGGAGGACACACATTCTTTGTAATTGTAAGTTCATTCACAAGCGTAGCTTTTTTTTTTAAAAAGAGAGAAAAGTGCATCATTGTTACCTGCAAGCTGGACAGCCACCCACCACTACAACTGAAGCTGCAGCTGGCTGCTGGATAATGGTGTAAGTGTTTGAGTAGTTTGATCCTGGACACACAGGGGGCTGGATACCTGCAGGAGCTGGAGGTACATAACCTACAAAACAGAAAGGGACATTAGCTAAAAGCATTTAGCGTTTCAAAACCTCATTAAATTCCATAAAGTAACTACATTCCCCTCTTTCCTCACAAAAATCCCTTATCTTCATTTAAATAATCCCATTAATCAAGCAACAATGTCAATATCAATACCAGTGTCAACACTAAAATAACTAATAGCATTTAAATCACAAAACCCATTTTAAAAGAAAAGTAGTGATCTGTACAGAGATAGTAGGAACTGCAGATGCTGGAGAATCTGAGATAACAAGGTGTAGAGCTGGATGAACACAGCAGGCCAAGCAGTAGAGGAACAGGAGGAGGAGGCAGCATCAGAGGAGCAAGAGGAGGAGGCCTGTTGTGTTCATCCAGCTCTACACCTTGTTATCTCTAGTGATCTGTACAGCAAGATTAAGAATTGACCACTTTCATCAACTAATAGCCTAGCAGTCCACCTAGTGACACCTCCAGAATATTTAAAGCAGTGTCGGCTTTTGCATTTTAAAAAAAATCAAAGTTTTAATTTCGGATTGTGATTTTAAAAGAATCCACTGATCATGACAAATTAAGTCTTACCCAGCCTCTCCAAACACAATTACTAAGTTAAACGTTCAACATTGATACAAACGCGAACAATATTTGTCAGGTGATTTCGAAGTTTCAATGCAATTACATACACCCTGTGCACCCTCCCATTATTTTGCTGCGGCTCTAACGAGGGATTAGACTGGCTTTGCCTGTGTACGCGATATAAATAAGAAAGGGTGGGCACACCTGAGGCCGGGTAAGAGTATGGAGGGGGCTGGTATCCAGGCGGTGGGATGGTACCATAGGTCTGGCCGTAGTCGTAGCCCCCCTCCGGCACCGCAGCGTACGCGGGTGGCCTCTCCTGCAAGAGGGGCTTGTTATCCATGGGTGGGGAAGGAGAGAAGAGCCGAGAGGAAGCAACAGTGGCGGCGGAACTCCAATGGCAGCAGGCGCCGCTCAGCCCTGGAGCGAGGATTTGGGCCGCCGGGATAGAACGGAAACCCTCTCTGTGCAGGAGGGTTTCCCAGGAGCTGGGCAGTGGGTAACAGTAACCTTTACTGCCACCGGGGAATCACCAGCCTGTCTCTCAGGGATTGTAATACCAGGTTCAGCATGCGCACTCCGGGGAATCCCCCCCAAACTCGATACAAAAATCACAAGATACGTGTCACATGACATCAGGCAACGTGACTTCCGTAACAGTCCTTAAAGGGACTCTGCTTTCTATTTTAGATTTAATGCTGTTTGAGTCAATAAAACAGACCGTTTGGTCCAACAAGTCCGTGCCGACTATGTTTCCAAACTAAATTAGTCCCATTTGCCTGCGCTTGGCCTATATCTCTCCAAACGTTGCCTCTTCGTTTACTTATCGAAATGTCTTTTAAATGTTGTAACTGTACCTGTATCCACCAATTTCTCTGGCAGCTCATTCCACACACGAACCCCACTCTGTATTTAAAAAGTTGCCTCTCATGTCCTTTTTAAAATCTTTCTCCACTCATCTTAAAATATGACCCCTAGTTTTGAACTTCCCCATCCTAAAGAAAAGACTTCTGTCATTCGCTTTATCAATGCCTGTCATGATCATATAAACCTCAACAAGGTCACCCCTCAACCTCCCACACTCCAGTGAAAGAAGTCCCAGCCTTTCCAGTCTATTTTTATATCTGAAACCCTCCATTCCTGGTAACAGAGATAGTAGGAACTGCAGATGCTGAACAATCTGAGATAACAAGGTGAAGGGTCTAGGCCTGAAACGTCAGCTTTCCTGCTCCTCTGATGCTGCTTGGCCTGCTGTGTTCATCCAGCTCTGCACCTTATTCCTGGTAACATCCTGTTTTAGATAAAAGGCTCCCTTCCATATCCTGTCATTTCTTTAACGAAGCCTACTGTGCCCAAATTTGCAACATTTGTGCCACAGTAAATGTTAGGCAATTACCATCTTCCCTTGACACTTACCATCACTGAACACTTCCACCAGCAGCATCCTGGGGGTTGGGTCATTGACCAGAAACTTATCTGAACCAGCCATATAAATGCTGTGGCTCCAAGAGCAAGAGTGAGGGAAGGATGCTACCCAGACCATGGGAGAGCGACAGCACTGTCCATACTGCAGGAGCGGATGACAGGGCACAACTTTCCATGGGAGCATTTTAAACATACAGATCAATGAGTAGCCCAAATCCAAATAACACAACAGCTGTCCATGACCCAGTTTTGAAGAGTGACTCAATACTAGGTACAAGACTACATTCTAGGGGATTCACAAAATTTGGGGTAGCCACTGCTAAGGCTTAATGGGCAAAGGACACTGTTTAAGGCTCCCTCATCATTGTATAATGTGGGACTGGAATCCGAGAAAAACTTTTCATTATAGGTAGCAGAGAATGCTTTGATGTGAAATATAAATATACTATAAATATAATCCATAATTGTTGGTATAGTAAGGCATTTAGAGTGCCACGTGCTGTGTTGAAATAAAACTATATTGCACTTTGTAATATAAAATTTAAACTCTTACATAATCAATCCGCAAATCTATGTGAAAAGTGTCTAAAAATGTCCAGCCTTCAACACTTGATTTTGAATGTAACACATGTAGCCTACAACAAATACATTTTTAAAAGGCTTCATTCTGCTGACAATTCCGAGCACATTTTTAAGACCTCAGTTTTAATGTATGAGACAAAAGCTCCATGTGTTTTTCTTTTACAATGACAAGCGTATCTGTTATCAACCTACCTAGCTAAGGAGTCATTACAGCTTTAGTATATCATGTGACCACAAAGAGGACTAGCAGCTTACCTCAGCTTCTTATTTGCAAAGACTAACAGAGGAGCTCTGGAAACTCGAGAGACCAATAACTGCAATTTACATTGTAGTTAATGGAATGTCAGCATAGTAAAAAAAAAATAAGGTAGCCTCACAAGATTGTTAAAAGGGAAACCACAGCTTTTTGGTTAGCAAATAACTCTGGAATAGTCAAACCACCATAAATGTATCAGTTTTATTTCTATGTCTGAGGTACAGGCGAAACTCTCCAGTGGAGTCATAACTAGCCGAAAGGAAGAGAATTGTGGTTGAGGCCGATCAAATAAAGTCAGCTCCACAACATTGCAGGAGTCATGTCTGATCTTATTGTGACCTTATAACCTTTCAACCCCTTACTAAACAGAATATAACTTAAAACCAAGTATTGTCCAATTGACAGGACTTACACAACTAAAAGTAGGGCCTTGGGTACTATTATAGAACAGAGAGACCTAAGGGTTCAGGTACACAATTCTTTGCAATTTGCATCACATATAGACAGGGTGGTTAAGAAGGCATTAGCATGCTTGCCTTCATTGCTCGGACCTTTGAGTATGGGAGTTGGGACACTATGTTGAGGTTATTCAGGACATTGGTGAGGCCTCTTCTGGAGCATTGTGTCCAGTTCTGGTCACCATTTTGTAGGAGAGATATTATTAAGCTGGAGAGGGTTACAAGGAATGAAGGGTTTGAGTTATAAGGAGAGGCTTGGACTCATTTTCACTGAAGCATAGGAGGTTGAGAGGTGACCTTATAGAGGTTTATAAAATCTTGAGGGGTATAAATAAAGTGAATAGCAGGTATCTTTTCACTAGGTTGGGGGAATTTCAAGACCAGGGGGTATATCTTCAAGGTGAGAGGAGAAAGATTTTAAAAAGATATTTTGTTTTTAAAACACAGTGGTTCATGTGTGGAATGAACTTTCAGAGGGAGTGGTGGATGTGTATAAAGTTTTAACATTTAAAAAAATATTTAGATAAGTGCATGAATAAGAAATGTTTTGAGATACCAACCAAGCATAGACAGGTGGGACTAGTTTAGTTTGGGGTTATGGTCAGCGTGGACCGGTTGGATCAAAGGATCTGTTTCCATGTTGCAAGCCTCTATGAAACATTCAAGAGGATATTGGATGAATATTTGGATGGTGGTAATATTCCTACCTCTAAGACAGTAGACCTAGGTTTAAGTCCCACTTGCTCTAAAGGTCTATAATAACATCTCTGTGCAAGGATATGGGGGGTTAATTGGTACTAGATAATGGTGCTTAATTAAACAGCATTGCAGACACAATGGACTGAATGGTCTTCTTCTGAACCATATCAAATCGGTGAAGAATCAATCTAAACCTGCCTTAAAAATATTCATAGACCTTGCTTCCACCACTTTTCTAGAAGAGTTCCAAAGACTCACAACGTGGAAAAAGTGCCAAATCCTTTTTTCAAACAGACAACGCCTGTTTTTAGGTTTACCCCTAATACAAGATTCGCCCATGAGGAAACGCCCACTCACACGTGCCTTTACATGACCCCTCAGGATTTTAAGCTCTTTCTATATTGATTAAGGTTTTCAATCCCTCTTTCAGAACATTTCTATACCCAAACTTTCACTCATCCTTCTTCAGTGCTCTAAGGTCCTTTCCCCTTAAGCTGAATATGATAGTATTTCAAAAATACCAAAAAATTACAGATACTGAGAAATTATGAACAAAAACAGGAATAGCTGGTAAACTGAGACAACAAGGTGCAGGGCTGGATGAACACAGCAGGCCAAGCAGCATCATAGGAGCAGAGAGGCTGACGTTTCGGGCCTCGACCCTTCATCAGAAAAGGGGGAGGGGAAGGGGGTTTTGAAATAAATAGGGAGAGAGTGGGAGGCGGATAGAAGAGGGATAGAGGAGAGGATAGGTGGAGAGGAAACAAACAGGTCGAAGAGGCGGGGATGGGGCCAGGAAAGGTGAGTGTAGGTAGGGAGTTAGGAAGGGGATAGGTCAGTCCAGGGAGGACGGACAGGTCAAGGGGGCGGGATGAGATTGTCAGTCCAGGGAGGTGTCTCGGATTCTCCAGCATCTGCAGTTCCTACTATAGCTGGTAAACTGAGCAGGTCTAGCAGCATCTGCAGAGAGAAAGCAGAGTATATACTTCAGCATCAGCTGCTTAGGGGCGGGCACTTCACCTGCACGTGCGGTACGAAACGTCAGCGCGCAATGGCCACACCTGATTGACATGTGGTTGCCCAATCAGGATCTCAGCGTCAATAGAGCCAACGAATCGAGCGTATCGAAGAGTGGGGCTCAACGGCTTGCCGGCCGTCGTCAAGGAAGAAGGTTCCGGAAGCCGAGTCTGGTTTGAATGGTGAGAATTTACCTTCGTCTGTCTGTTTGTGAGAGTATCGTCCAAAGCCGGCAGCAAGACTCTGTTATCCTGGAGGTTGGAGGGGCGAGGTGGAGTCATGTACAAAGATGAGATCCGATTTAGAGATCCCTTCACAGATGCGGGCTTTGACCCACTTAAAGTCGGTCCCCTCGAGAGTGGCCTCGGACCCACTTA